ATGGGGGGGGGCACAAGAATATGTAGCCCACCACACTGCAATCCTCAGTAACATAGTGCAATATAGTAGCACCATATAACAACTAACTCTCATTGAACAAATTGTCAGCTACTCCAAGACACTTAACAAATGGCTGCTGGTAACCCACCTTTCTACAGTATAAACAGGGGGGTGTCACATTCAAAGCCTATGGTTTTGTTCAGTTTAAAAAGCAGTGGGGTCACTAGGGTTGGTGTCATCTGGTGCGGTAAAACATGGCGTCACCCCTCCCCTAGACCTTTCTCCCTTACCTATATATGATATCACCCTTTCTTACACCTAACTCACCAAAACCAAGTAAGTAATCTAAGTACTTCCCAACCACCTAACAGAATAATTTTAAATCTCCCAAATTAGTAAATAAATAAATAAAATAAATAAATGAAAAATTGTCCAAATAAAGTCCAAAGCAAAAGTCCACCAAAACCATATAAATCCAGTAAGTAGAATTTCCAATTCCTATTTCAGTCCTCGTGATACCTCGAAAAAAGAATACTCATATAGTGTATTACCTTCTAAATAACAAAATTCAGTGTATAAGTGCAATCAATAAATACGTGCACAAAAATCAAAACGAATACAACTGTGATTTCTTGTGAATCATGCGAAAAAAAAAATATATATCCAAAAATTATATAAGTACAACAATCATCAACTAAAGTAAATAAGTGAAGCAAATGAGATGTTTAAGTGAACACTTCCATTCATATAGTGAGCACTCCGTGACCACTTCAATACAATTAGTGAGCACTCCGTGACCACCTCTAAATAGTGTTATTAAATACCATTACCCTCCGGTAGTATTCATAAACTTATCTCGATATTCCTGGTAAATGTATTACTTCCAAGCTTTCATTCACTTCATAAGCCCATCCTCCATATTCCTCATAAAGTAAAGGAGACTCATATAATAGGTATTCCAAGTATAGGATTATTTAATAAATATCTTACATTGGGGATAAATAAATAGCAGCTCTGTGGCAAACAAACCAGTCTTGCAGTCTTTAGGGCATATGAACCACGGTTTCCAGCAGTCTTGACGGTTTTTCGTGTGTGCGTCTTGACGTCACATCCCCTAACGCGTTTTGTCACTTCCGGACTTCATCTGAAGGGATCTGAAGTCCAGAAGTGCAATTTCCTCCTACCAATTTTATAAAAATATAAATAAAAGAAATAGAAGAGGACATGCATTTAACTGTCTGGGCAGATGTAGTAACATGGGTGCTTGAGCACAGAGACCTCACTGCCCAGTGTTTTGAGAAATAAAAAAAAATAAAAGGTGTTTTAACTCTTCGTCTATCAAAAACTGATGTGTCGGTTTTGAGTGGACTGACCCTTTAATTCAGCACAGACACAGAGTTCTGTGCAAACATACACCATAATTATAATGATGATTCTGGGCGATCCGCCACATCCTGTATTTGTTTATGGAAGTGTTTGTAGAACAATGTGGTCCTTATGGAAAATAGCAATTGAATAAAATACATTGGCTTTAATTTAGAAAGCATGCCAACTCCAAAACTGTTCCTGCGAAGTTAGTTTCATGTTTAGCTGGTAACAAATGTAAAATGACAGGATCTAATCGGTTTCACTTTTCATGGGCAATAAAAACAATCAGACTTATTCAATAAACTGTTCAAATGATAATAGTGAAGTTTAGGACTTCATGCCTTTTTATTTAATATCTTGAGTGAGCTCCAAAATGTCAGTTTTATGAACAAAAATCTCTAAAGACCTACAAACCAAACTAACTGGAAAATTGGGACTTTTAAGGAACCATACGTCAACCATGATTAAAATTGTAACAATGTTTCATTTCATCAAGTGTTTAAAGAGCACACAAAATCATTAAAATAACAATAAATGCAGTTCTTATTATTTTTTTTATACATAAGAGTTGATTTACTAAAGGCAATCAGACTGGGCAGTTGCTCCAGAGCTTAGTAAATGAGGGTAAGCTCTAGTGTTTTCCAGCACTCAATCATGTGCAAGCAAAACTGCTGTTTCTTTTTTATTTTACTTGTGTGTGATTGGGTATTCTTTATAAAGTAAAGTTTTATCTCATTTACTAAGCTCTGGAGCAATTACACTTACAAAGTGCACGTTCTTTTTGCCTTTAGTAAATCAGCCCGATATTGTTACTACATATCCCCTGCCGAAAGCCTTATCATTTATATTGGAACAATACATATTTCCATTTTCTCATCTTGATTGGCAAGGGAGTATTTCTCAACATGTTTCTCAGGTCAACGGACTGCTTTGCATATATTTGTTCTATAAGAATTTCTCTGCTTTCTGATTGATGTGCGTTAACCATCTAAAAACAGCTATGGGGGTCAAAAGCTAATTTGTATTAACTACTGTATCTTAAAATGTATTATGCTTCATGCTGCAAATACTTACATCTTTGTACCTCCCGAGGACGAGGCTCATCTTTTTCAACTCTCTCTCAACGCGTTTCTCAGGTCAACAGCCTGGCCTCCTCAGGAGGTACAAGGAGGCACGTACTGTATCTGTATCTGCAACATGAACCATAACACATTTTATGGTACGGTAGGTATTATTACAAAATTAGCTTTTAACCTCATAGGTGTTTACAAATAGTTAATCCATACATCAGTCAGACAGCAGAGAAATTCTCATAGAACAAATATATGCAAAGCAGTCTATTGACCTAAGAAATATGTTACAAATCTTGCCAATCAAGATGAGAAAATGAAAATCTCCTAATGTTCCGATATAAAGGTTAAAGCTGTCGGCAGGGGATGTTTAGGAGGAATGTATAGTAACAATATGTATACATAAAATATGAACAATATTTATTGTTATTTTAATGATTTTTCAGTCTTTTCAAACACTTGATGAAATAAAATGCTATTTTAATCATGGTTGACATTTGTACAGGTATGGTACCTTAGAGGATAAGTTTACCTTTGGAGTATGTTATGCCCATATTTAGGATGTAATATGCTCCTGCACATGTTCTTCTCACCCCCCTGATATCCCTTCTGTGACAGAAGGTGGGGATTCCTCTCCCCGCCACCCACTGTCATATTTCGAAAGCAACGCGCCTGTGCAGGGCTCCACCTACACAGCCGCATCATTCATTCACAGGAATCTGTGAATGAGAAAACTACAAATATCATCTTCCACCCCAGAAGATGGATTACAGTTCTGATGAGCACCCTCGTAGTTCATTTATAAGCCCTTGAAGCTTTCAAACAGAAAGCCAGTGCAGAGGTACCAGCAGAGAGCCGTAGTACTTGTCTGCAGGAGCCTGACATTGCACCCATGTTCCACCGATCACAGGTGCAATGCTTTGCAGACTCCTTGAGGAAAAAATAATACATGCAGTTTTTTTCTGCAAAAATATGTGCATTTATTATTTTCTCCAAAGGTGAACGTAGCCTTTAAAAGTCCTAATTTTCCAGTTATATTGATTTGTAGTTCTTGGAGGTTTACTGGGGATATTGGTACATAATTTGCTATCACAAATGTTAAAAGTAAATCCTGCACTTTGTCCTAGCTAATCAATAAATCTCTAAAATCATGGGTGCAATAAAGCCCAAGTCATCTGTCATGGCGACATGAAGCAGCGCAATAGTTTCTATGATTTGTAAAAAAATCCCCCTGAGCTCTATATGTACCTATAAACTAACACTTAAAAGCAGCTAACACCTAGTCCTATACCTATAGGTGAAAATGAATTATACAATATAAAATGGTGTAGCGCTATATAAATAAATGTATAACAAATATATCATAAATAGTGACTAAACGTGACTCAAACCACATGAGGTCCTGTAAATGGACCAAATAAAGTGACTTATAAATTTTGATATAATAATGATAATAATAAATGTGAACCCAATCCCTATAGGGATACAACCACAAATGACGTGACCAGTGGTACCCAATAAATGGGACACAGACCTATATTAATATATTACATAAAATATGTGAATCCCTATTGAGGGATAAAAAACACACTCTGTGCTCAAAATGGTAAAAGACACTCTGGTAACAAGCAAAAATATTAATATTATACATGAAAAAATAATTACAACAAAAGTCCAATACTGCAAAAAGTCCAATTTCTGTGAAACCAAAAACAAGGTGCTTCACTACTTCCTGGTCATGCAACATATACAGTGTGGATGCACAACACACCGATACGTGATCCTTAAAATGGCTGCAATGGCCTCTCACCTCCACTCGGTGACCCCACAGGGCCACAGAGCCTTTTGGATCACCTCTGGATCCTCCCTGTATCTGCACTCTTTTCAGCCTGGTTTCCTGGGAACTATAACCACACTGGTATCCTGCAGCACCACTGTTGTTACTTCCTCTTTATAGGTAGGTAGATAGGCAGGTAGGCACCCTCACAACCAATAATACTCTCTCATAAGCCCATGGAACAAGAGAAAGAAACATCCTCCATAGTGTTAAACCGCATGCCCAGGACTCCTCCACATCAGCGGCCTCTCCGGTCCATGCTCCTTTTTCTTTTTAATCAGATGGCTTGCTTCTCTCCATTTGTTTTCTTCTTAAAAGGCTATACATGATATCATTTTAAAATGTTATAATGACATTTATGTGGCAAGATACAAACATTTCACAAGTCAAAAATGTTGTAAGATACAGATATAATTAATATCAATGGATATGTGTTGAACATATTCAGTTTTTCTGAAAAGAAGAGGACTGGAAATGGAAAATACTGGCTGCCTATTCAGTACATTTGTAGAAGAAAGCTATTAAAATGATTGAAAACTGTCTCATCACTTTCCACAAAGGTTTGGGACTGTAATTTATGAAGATGTAATTTTTATCTTTTGAATCAGTGCAGTGATTTTTTTTTACTTATTCTCATTTTTAAAATATCTTTCTTTAATGATCTTCACCTTCACTCAACTAGCATTTTTTTAAACTGTTCATTAAAGGTTTGTACATAGTAAAAGAGGTACATAGCTGTGCAGTAAGGATATCTATAGTTATATAGATAGCAGGGGCGGACTGACAACTCATGGGGCCCCCGGGCAATAGGGGATCATGGGGCCCCTGTGTCCTTGCCCAAACTCAAAAGGCCTATGAAAAAGGTACCAGGGGCATCTCATGGGGCCCCCTACTGACCCCGGGCCCTCGGGCAGTGACCGGGTTTCCAAATGGTCAGTCCGCCCCTGATAGTTAGGCTATATCAGGTAACTACAATGGACTCCTATGAAGAGGAACAAAATAAAGAGAGTAGTACTCATCCTTCAGCCAGTTTTTGTGTAAGACTTGATTGGTTTCCTAGTGTGATAGACTTGTTATAATAAAGAAAGGGATTTGGTTAGTGTTAGTGGTTACTCTTGTTGTTAAATTAGGATATTTGCTATTTGGCAAATGAGGTTTAATGTTGATAAATGTAAGGTTCTGCACTTGGGGGCTAAGAATATACATGCATCATACATACTAGGGGGGTACAATTGGGGGAATCAATCGTGGAGAAGGATCTGGTAGTTCTGGTAGATCACAACCTTAATAATGGCATGCAATGCCAAGCTGCGGTTTCTAAAGCGAGCAAAATCCTCTCTTGTATTAAAAGAGGTATAGACTCCAGAGAGAGAGATATCATATTACCCTAGTACAAATCATTAGTAAGACTTCATCTGGAATATGTTCTGTTTTGGGCACCAATTCACAAAAAGAACATTGGGGAACTGGAGAAAGTACAGAGAAGGGCAACCAAACTGATAAGAGGCATGGAGGAGCTCAGCTATGAGGAAAGATTAGAGGAACGGAATTTATTCTCTCTTGAGAAGAGGAGATTAACCACTTGACAACTGGGCTATAGCCGAATGTCGGCTACAGCGCTGTCGTCCAGTTCTGGGAGAGCGTCATATGACATCCTCCCAGAACGTGCCCTCCTGCGCGCCCCCAGTAGCGCGCACCCGGTGATCTGCGTGATCGCTGTGTCCTATGGACACAGCTGATCACATGATGTGGTAAAAGGCCAATCACAATGGCCTTTTACCACATGATCAGCTGTGTCCAATGACACAGCAGATCACCGGGTAAATGCAGTTGCCGGTTGTTGGCTGCCGTTTCGTCACGCTGTCACAGCTTGAGGAAAGTACTGCCGATAACCAGCAATTGTCAGAAAACAGATCAGCACTGATCATCAGTGCCATGATGATCAGTGCCCAGCAGTTCCACCCACCTGTGCCCAACAGTGCCACCTGCAAGTGCCAAGCAGTGCCATCCACCTGTGCCCAGCAGTGCCACCCATCTCTGCCCAGCAGTGCCTAGCAGTGCCAACCACCTGTGCCCAGCAGTACCACCCATCAGTGCTGCCCAGTCAGTGCCCAGCAGTTTGTCAGTCAGTGCCACCCATCAGTGCTGCTCATCAGTGCCACCTATCAGTGCCCATCAGTTCCGCCTATCAGTGTCTATCATTGCTGCATATCAGTGCAGCATAATCAGTGCCAGCCCATCAATGCCGCCTATCAGTACCACCTATCAGTGCCACCTATCAGTGCTGCCTATCCATGCCATCTCATCAGTGACACCTATCAGTGCCCATCAGTGCTGCCTATCAGTGCAGCCTCATCAATGCACATCAATGAAGGAGAAAAATTACCTGTTTGCAACATTTTATAATAGAAAGAAAAACTTTTTTTTTGCTCTTTTTTTGTTTATAGCACAAAAAATAAAACACCCAGTGGTGATTAAATACCCCCATAAGAAAGCTATATTTGTGTGAAAAAAAAATGATAAAAATTTCATATGGGTACAGTATTGCATGACCGCGCAATTGTCATTCAAAGTGTGACAGAACTGAAAGCTGAAAATTGGCCTGGGCAGGAAGGGGATATAAGTGCCCAGTGGGCAAGTGGTTAAGGGAGATATGATCACCACGTATAAATACATCAGTGGTTCATATAGTGAACTCGGTGTAGAGCTATTCATCCTGAGGTCATCACAGAGGACAAGGGGGAACTCTTTACGTCTGGAGGAAAAGAAATGTAATCTCCAAACACGGAAAGGTTTCTTCACAGTAAGAGTTGTGAAAATGTGGAATAGATTCACTCAGCTGGCCAGCTCAGTGGATTGCTTTAAAAAAGGCCTGGATTCTTTCTTAGATACACAGAATATAACTGGATACTAACATTTATAGGTAAAGTTGATCCAGGGAATATCCGATTGGGGGATCAGGAAGGAATTCTTTTCCCCTGCAGGAGCAAATTGGATCATGCTTTGCTGGGTTTTTTTGCCTTCCTCTGTAAGTGTAGGATTATAACTTTTTTTTTTTTATATGGTTGAACTGGATGGACTTTTGTCTTTTTTTCAGCCAGACTGGCTATGTAACTATGTTATTGTTAAGGCCAGGAATTAGTAGATTTACTTTCAGTTTTAGGGTTAGGTTTTTTTGTTAATTGTTCAAAGCTCCAATTTAGGTAAGATTAAGTGTGAATGGCTCAATTAAGCCAGCCATAGATAGAGTGATTTGTTTTGCTGCAACCATGTGTAGCACCCTCCTAGTTTGGCTAGTACTTAGCTAGATCCTAATGGCTAGACAGGAGCTGAGTAGCAGCTCAGGTGAAATAGCCAGAAGTGTAAAATTGTGGTCAGGGCTGAGAGGCTCTACAGGCCAGCCCCTCAGGAATTTCCCCCTGCTTTTGGAGGAAGGCCTTGGAGGTAGAGGGTGGATCTGAGGAGTGGCTGGCTACACTTTTGAGGGGTCCTGGCCAATCCCCAACAAAAGTTTGGCAAGGGGCTGGACACCCCTAAAAGTGTTGGAGCCTGCTCAGTGGCAGGACTGTGTGAAGTGGAGGGGAGGAGTTGGATGGAAGATGTGAAGCTGAGGAAGGAGGTTGCCAGGAGGCCTAGTGGGATGGGGCCTGTTTGCGAGCCTAGAACTGGAAAGGCAGAAATATTGGAACTCACTGGCTCCCTGAGCGAGGACCACCTGTATGGCAGGGAAGGTGCAGCGCAGCGCAACTGATAGGCCTGGTAGCAGCCACCAACCCACAAGCTGTGCAGAAGAGGATCTGAGTGAGTACACCTGCACCCCCTGGGTGAATAGAGGAAGCAGCACTCTGGAGAAAAACCAGATTAGCCCCCTACTTGTGACTGTTCACCTCTTTAAATGAACAGGAGCCAGATCCCCCTGCTTAGGAAAAAGCTCCAGATTGCTGGGCGAAGAGAATTTCATCTAGGGTTTGGGGGTGGTACGTTAAGGAGATGCTGGCTAGCTCTCCAACAGAGACTGTGCTATGAAAGAAAAGCTTGTGCATAGTTCCAGGAAGTTTGTCCTCAGTTGTCGATACCCTCGAGCATCCTATACTCCCTTACCCTATCCCAGTTCTAAATCCCTTCAATGAACAAAACAACAGCTCAAGGATTGATTTATTTTGAATGCAAGCATGTGTGAGGAATGCAGATTGCCTGGCAGTGCAGAACTATATGGGGACCCAATTCTTAGCAATCCCCAAGGGGGCAGTGCTACACATTGGTTGCAGGAAAGAAAATCACTTGATTTCTTCATCAACACTGTCAGTGTTTGTGGGGGAATTCCTCCTGCTGAGCTACTGTGTTCTCCTGGCAAGGGGGGCAGGGGGAGCAAAAAAAAAAAAACCAAACAATATTTTGGACCTTTTGCTATTAAACATGTCCAGTAAAAAAATTAAAAAAAATCAATTTCATCATAAATTTAGGCCAAAATGTATTCTGCTACATGTCTTTGGTAAAATAAATCCCAATACGTGAAAAAAAATTAATTGGTTTACTTGAAAGTTATAGCATTTAAAAATGGTGGTATAGATGCTGGGATTTTTAATTTTTATTCCTACTAGTAATGGCGGTGATCAGCGACTTATAGCGGGACTGCGGCGGACATTCTGACATTGTGGGGGGCGCTAACTTGGTGTCACTGACATCCCCAGTGACACCAATACAGTGATCAGTGCTAAAAAACAGCACTGACACTGTACTAATGACACTGGACAGGAAAAGGTTAATCAAAGGGTTAACTGTGGGTAGGGAATGTTTTACTAGGGGGCGGGGGGTGTGTGCTTCACTGTAAGCACACTGCTTGGGATGGCTGTGCCTGAGCTGACAGGGAGGAAGACTGTTTGTAAACAAAACAGTCTTCCTCCCCATCGGTGATTGTCGGTTATCACCGGACGCCGGCGAGTAATCACCGGCCGGGACCCGGTGATTGACATCCATGGCCGCGAATGGTGGCGTGGGTATGGTGCGCGCAACTTGCTCGCACCCCATACCTGGAGATTATTATTGTTATACAGGATTTATATAGCGTCAACAGTTTGCACAGCGCTTTACAGACTCACGTATATATACATGATTTTGCATGCCCGTGCCGCCGTGCAGCAGTACATCTGCTATACTGCGGCGGGTAAGCGGTTAAGTGACATTAAACTCTGGTTAAAAAAAAAAATCTATTCAAGTATGTATTCTTGACTCAAAGAGCCTCCAAATCTCTACATTTTTTTTTTTTTGCTGCTGCTGTGACCTGACTTGTTTAGAAGGTGACTATGTTCATTCTCCATGGTCCCACTGTGTGTAAGAATGTAGCCACCCTCTCTTGTTCAGTCAAGATATAGTTTAGGGATTATGGACTATGCACTACAGGATATGAAGTGTGCACAGGGCAGTACGTTACCACAACTAACATGCACTGTTCATGCCAAGCAAATGGAAGTGAGGGCGATGAAGGAGCCCCCCACAACCACAGCCCAGGGTTGTTGGCAAGAGACCCTTGTCCCCATCCACAGCTGGACAAGGCGCTTTGGGGGGAGAGAGCCCCCCTACCCCAAAGCACCCCCCCCATGTAGGGCATGTGGCCTGGTACAGTTTAGGAGGGGGGCACTCGTTCATTCTGCTAGGAATATAGGGGAAACCCCACATATTTTCCCCCCCATTTTTGGGAGGTGGGGTTCCCTTACAAGTCCTATTGGGCCTAAAGGGCCTGGTATGTTTTTTAGGGGGAACCCCACACTTTTAAAAAAAAACTTTTACTTTGGAGTCCCTCCTAACCTTCGTACCAGACCTAAAGGGTCTGGATTAAAGGGGGACCCCATGCTGTTTTTTTTTAAATAAAAATATCATTTTAAAAAAAAAAATGTCAATCATGCTGCAGCAGGTTCTATACATTGTACAGATGTGTAGTTTTTGCAG